GTGGTAGTCGTAGTCATCCTTATTTTTAAAGCTGTTATCTGTCCTGCTGCAGCTGTTTACACAGCTGAATAGCATGCTTCGGTTGACATGATTTCTGACAACGCAACATCGTCCACATACTTTCCTGCTGTTGTGACCGGCTAGAAAAGCCAAATCAGATCTTGCAGGCTTATCACAGGTAATAATGTCGTGAAAACGGAAGTTTATATGCCTGTCATTGATATGCAGACCGTGTGCATATAAATGTTCCATGTCAGTGACCAATGGCATCAAAAATTTATTGAGGTCTGACGGTTTATGAAAACCAACACAAACACCATTAAGGAATATATCACAAAGAAACGGCTTCACAAGTCTACATAATATCGGCCAAACTTGCTGTGCACCATTGTTAAACAGTGGCAACCCATGAACACTCAGCTGTAGGCTCATTTTAACAAAAGATGCAAACTGACACCAACAACTCAGTATAAGCGTAAGTATACTTTGCAAACCAACATGACAATTAACTCTACTATAAATAACAGTTGAGGGGGAGGATTGGCTAGATTTCAGAAGGTGCTTCATGTTCGTTGGTAAATTTGGAAAATGCCGTTTAAACAGTCGTATTATCTTCTCGCCATCAACAACTGAAAAGTTAATGGCCATCTTAGTCTTCAAAGCTGTAGCTCTAAGGTTCACCTTCAAATTCCCTTCAACTGTATTATTGGATGATTTATCCTTATACTCCACAGTGCCAACTTCATCACCTCACAAACTGTCAACTACTGCAGTTATTATCCTCTTGGCAAGATCGCCGAGCAATTCCGATTTCAACCTCTTATTTCTTCTGTAAACTGTGGATCGATGAAATGCCTGTTTTTCTATCCAAACTGATACATGGAGGTATATTGAAAGGAATGAAGAATCTCGCCTATTCTACTGGCCGGTCCCAAGCCCTGTTAAAGAGGAGGGAGTCAGGGGCGCGGGGCTGGCGATCCTACGCGAAAAAACCAATCAAACTGCTACAGAAACTCCAACGCACAGGAAAAAGATAATAAAAATATAGAAAGCAAACTTATTCTTCGCTGGAATCAGAGAGGATAATTGACACAGTGAGCTGGTGAAAGCCAGCTTTCAGGAAGCCAGTCAGCCAGCCGATGTGTTCTCTCTTGGTGAAAATAAGATTTAGAATGGGGATGTGGAATTTACGAGGCTAAGGAAGCTGCCCAGGTAGCCAAGGAAATGAGAAGATATAGTATAGAAGTGCTGGGAGTAGATGGAATGGATGCGGACTGTCGAAATTGTCAACTAGTAAGTCAGAATCTACTCTCGTTACCCGGATGACTACTACGAACATACAAAGGCAGCGAGTGGCTATCGTGATATGACCAGTGGCAGACAACGCCCTAGTGCAATGGGAACCAATTTCATCCAGGATTATAATAGCAAGATTCAACTCAAAAGGAAGGAAGGTCACAATTATCCAATGCTACGCATAGTGCTACGAACAACGCTGAACAAGAGACGAAGGAAGACTTTTTTAGACAAATAAAAACAGTAGTGGAAAACCCCCCGAATGGCGAAGTAAAAATCTTTATGGGCCATATGAATGCAAGCGAAACTGGGAGTAAACAATACAGGAAGAGAACTCAGCATGGGTCGAGAGGCTTTCGCTTAGCGAAGTGAATGAGAATGGAGGAATGTTCACAGACTCCTGCTCTTTCAATGATTTGGTGATCGGAGGCGAGGCAGCGTGTATAAGCACACAGATATACCCAAAGCAACATAGATTTCGCCTGACGGACAAACCACAAAACAGATAGACTTCATCTCAATGTCCCTCAAGGAAGTGGAGACGCTGCTTGCTGGACACAAAATCAAGCAGATGTGGGCTCACACCGTCATCTATTTCAACGAACTTTTAAGGTGAAGCTAATATCCATGAAGAAATGGAGACAGGACACAATTCAAGCTCAACATTTATAAACTGAAGGACAAAACTATGAGGGATATTTTCACTACAGACCAGATCGGAGCAAACTCGGAAAGACTACGCGCAATCGCTGAGGAAACCTGCTTGGAAGAACACTGGAAGTAACTCTTTGAAAGTCATGTCTAAGAAAATGCGTACTACCACTTTAGGAAGAAAGAAGCGTCAAGACTAGGAGTGGTTCTCAATGGACACCTACCTGGAAGAAAATAGAAGAGAGGAGAGGAGGATGGTGAAAGAGATGACTCAATGCAAAGATGGACAACAAAAGGAGAAGCTAAGTTCAATGTACACTGCGCTGAATAAAGAAGTGAAGAAGAGTTCTAGGAAAGACAATTTTAAGATACAATGGCTGGTTGCAGCTGAAGCACAACAGGCAGACCACAGGTGAAAGAGACCTCAGACTATCATTTCAGGTGACCAGGTCACTATCCGGGAAGGGATCAACCCAGTTGATGAAACCATTAAAAGATGTTCAAGGGAACCTGATTACCAGTAGGGAAAAGCAGATAAAACAATGGGCTGACCACTTCAAAGAACTCTAGAATCGACTATCATATGCAACTTGGCCAGGAATAGCATCAACTGCATTCACAGAACTGCTTCACAGTGGACACCAATCCCTCAAAAGGAAGCAGAAATCTTGAATGCGATCAAGCTACTGAAGGCCAGCGAGGGGGGTAACGTGGCTAGACGGGATCCTCCCGAAGCACTGAAAAAGGAACCAGAGACTGCAGTAGATGTGTTCACGCCATTGCTGGAAAAGGTTTCGGAGGAAGGATAGGTGCCTATCTATTGGAGAAAAGCCTAGCTACCTTATCAAGCTACCAAAGAGCGGCAACTTAGGTCTCTACGAGGGCTGGCGTGGAATAATGCTCTTGTCCACTTCAAGTAAAATACTAAATCGCGTCATCCCGGAGAGATTAAGAGATGCACTGGATACAGAACTCCAGACCTCACCGGAACAAGCTGGATTCAAGAAAGGCGAATCATGTGCTGATCAAATTGCAACTCTACGTATCATCGTCAATCAAAACATAAAATGGCAGTCAAACCTCTCTCTCAATCTCATCAACTATGAAGCGGCCTTTGACACCGTAGATCGAGAAGTAATTTAGAAACTGCTACAACACTGCGGCGTGCATTGCACGAGTGTTTACCAACGTCACTCAACAGCTAGATATATATATGACAGTGCCACGTGTCAGATGATCGACAACGGAGAACTCAGCGATGCATTCGAAGCGAATACTGGAGTAAGACAAGGCTGCCTATTATCACCGATGATATTCTTAATTGTGGTGAACTGGATTATGCGTCAGGCTGTGCGTGAGGGCAAGGAGTCAGGAATAAGCTGGACTACCGATGAGGAGACTCTAGAAGATCTGGATTTCGTAGATGATATATGTCCAGTGTTACACAAACTCGAAGATAGGCAAGCGAAAACCGACAAATTGTCTGAAGAGGCTGTCAGCAAAAACAGGACTCCAGGTGAACACAGAGGATACGGAGGTGATGAAGATAACCAACAGCAACAACAACCAGCACCAGTCACCATCAACGGAGAGATTTAACAGAGGTTGCCTCCTCCACTTATCCGGAAGGCATCGTCTTAATTACGGACGGAACGGACGAAGATGTAAAAGTCAGAATCGGAAAGGCAAGATACGCCTTCATCACCAATAAACCAGTTTGGAAATCTTCTGCACTCAGTATAAGGAACAAGATTCACATTTTCCACACCAATGTGAAGTCGATCCTTCTATACGGGTCAGAAACTTGGTATGTGAGTGACCGAAAGCTTTTCCAATAGGCTGCAGGCTTTCATCAACATTTGCCTTCGCTGTCTTCATACTGAAGATCAAATGGCCAGAAAGAATAAACAGCAAGAAACTATGGGAACAAACCAGCTAAGATCCGATCGCTCAACAAATTTGTAGGAGAAAGTGGAGATGGATCGGGGGACGCCGCCGAATGACATCGCACGTCAGGCCCTCAAGTTGGATCCCGATGGGAAGCGACGAGTGGGTCGTCAGTGCGAGGGTGACATGGAAGAGATCGTGTTAGGAACAGATGAGAGAGTTTGGTCAGTCGTGTGCCTAGCCAGCTGAAGAGGATGCAGAACACAGAACAAAGTGGAGATGTGTTGTTGAAGCCCCCGGGACGCAAGGGAATAATAATAAACCTTGAGTTCTACTATATAGCTGACCAAAACCTCTCCGAGACACACCCAATCCGAAAGTTTCCTGTGGTATTATTCAATAATCATAACATCACAACCCAAAACTACCTCAGTAATGTCGTTGCGCAGTCATCCAGATCCAGTACTTTCGCAAACTCAAAACAACTACTGTAAAACAAAATTATTAAACCAAAATCACCCGTAAGAAGTCCTTGAAAGTCAAGAGGAATATTCACAACAGAGGGGAATCAAAGCTCTGTCAGCCAGAATCACGCATCTAGCACTCTCCGCAGACTTCCCTAGGGCGAAATCCCCACAGCCGTCCTTGACTCTACTCAAACAAAATCACAATTGAAGAATAACACATTATCGAATTTGAATTAGGGATTACTTAGTAACAAGTATGAAAGGTTAAGTGAGGAGATTGATATATATCTTAGGAGGAAGGAGGAAAACAATAACAAAGCTGGTTGAAATACCTAAATAAGTACAAATATTGTATCTGGGTCGTTCAGAATCGACTTCCCAAGCAATTTATCCGTTACAGTACTTCCGCTGCACTGTTCAAACATTCAAATTATTACTTGGTACTATGGACCATTGATATCGAATGGTTGACCAGAAAAGAGTTGAGGATGTCAAAATGGATGTATCGCGTAAAGCCTTATCAAAAAATTTGCCACTATAAGCTGTATTCGTTGTGGGTGGATTTGACACATACTAAAGAATCATTTATATTCAAATCAGAAATTCACAGCCGTTTTTCTTGATCTGAGCTGATTTTTAATGCAAAAGCAGTTCGAATGGGTGAAAGTGGAGATCTTGTCAGTTCTAGAGCAAAGAGAACGAAGACTTATATATTTGTTCTGTCGTCTCAACTTGTAGGCTGTATTGAAAACGCGCTTGATCTGTTGTGTGCGTTACTTTTAAATGGAATAGTAAAATGAGGGCTCCTGAAGGCTTCCAGTTGCCTAGTCCAGTCGACTTTGACAGTCATCCGCCACCACAGTTGCCAAAATATCTCAAGCACCAGGTGTATGACAAACCTGAGGTTTTCGCGAAAGTGGATGAACATGCTATGAATGTACGTAGTTTTCTGCAAGTGTTTTCTTTATCAAATCGCGGATGATTTTATTGATTCACCATCAACTTACATTATTTTGCTTTCTTATAGGTTGCTGGATATCAGCACCCAACATTCAGGGACCTAATGTGGGACCTGTTATATCGTTACAAATTAGACGAATTAGAAAGAGCTCGAGTGATATTTCGATGGATGACTGCGAAAGATATGCAGAATATCCATTTCGAAAACGTTTCTCCCAATTCCCCGGAGGATGTACTTATGTCCTTCAGCACAAATCGGGGAACTTTTTCGAGAATGTATGAAGTTATGTGCAGGTATGATGCTGTAGAAAATTACATCCTTTTAGCTATTCTGAAATTCATTGTGTCACTGTTAGTGGATATGCTAAAGGTGTGGATTACCTACCTGGAGATAAGTTTCTCGGTCTTCCTCCTAATCACTCGTGGAACGTTATATACATTCGGGGGTCTTGGCAGCTTGTAGATGTCCACTGGGCTGCTCGGTATCTCAGTTCCGGTAAAAATGTTCCAGAAAATGTTGTCTATGAATACGATGACTTTTACTTCATGATGGAACCCCAGCAGGTAAGTTATGACCACCTGTAGCAATACTTATGCACCTGATTTTTAATTATAAGATCTTATAAGGTATTAAAAGCCTACTATAGGGTGATTTACAGCTTCAGTATTAATTGTGCTGCGTGTATTATTGCTATAAATGTACTCGGCACTATTTTATTTCTCATATATCTCCAGTCAGTGTGTTTCAAAGGGTTCAGAACTCTTGACTGCAATGCACCTCGATAGGAGCTTTCCCACGACTGATATCTTTTGTGTGAATGACAGATAATGGGTTACATAACCTTATTTTTCGAAGTTCTTACAATACTTGTTTCACTTGTAATAACTTTATATCTTTTGTGGATGATGTGATTTTTTGACATACAAAGTTATCTATATTTTTTTCTGGGATGTGATACAGCATCCTTTCTCACACTTTATCTAACTAAATTTTTTCATTTAGTCTGAGAACGTCTTTGTATTAACATATTTGTTGTTCTGCCTAGACGAAACGCTGTAAAGTATGATTTGTTGATTGCTAACATGTTTGAAACGATAGTCTCTGTCTTACAGTTGCACAACAAGAGATCTATTTAAAAATCCTAGTGTCTTTTAAGCTAATCGTTGTCATAGAAGAAAAGCGATTGCACTGTAGTCCGAGTATACTTTATTAATTTTAAAAATATGGGAAGTCAGGACATATTGAGTTTGGTGTTTTATTGGCGGTATGGATACATCTATGAACATCTTGTTCCTAACTTTTATGTCATGTTCCCTGTTGTGGGTAAAAATGAAATATATTCAGTGTTCTTACGATATCACTACAAATACTACTGTGTTATGCTTTGAACACAAACCTTCACTAGCTAATTCTGTGTAAACAGACTGACTTGTGCAGGGAAGCAGCTTAGATCTCCAGGGAGATTCACAGACCGACGTCTTTGGATATCAGCTTTCCTGCACTTGGGGCTAAAAAGAAATTTACCATACCAAGATTATGTTTAAAATATTATTCTGTTGCTTATTTTTTTTTCAGGCAGTATATAGCCATTTTCCTGAAGATCAGAGATGGCAGCTTCTACCTGTTCCTCTCACACTTTCACAGTTTGAGAACTTACCACTTACGAAGTCACAATTTTTCAAGTGTGCGATCGATTTCCTAGAACAGCACCACGGCGTCGTCAGAACACAAGATGGTTGCCTTAGAATGACACTTGGATTTTGGCGCCCTGGTGGTTTCACTTATAAGCTGCAATACTTGGTCACTAGTTACAACCACCCCGAACCTGATTCTCTTACGGCTTATCCAAATGACTTGAGCGATCAAGTTCCAAACCTCAACGTTGATTTAAAATGTTTTGTTTTACAAGAGACCACGAAAGATCATCTAAACTTCTTTTTCCGACTGCCAGCATCTGGTATCTACTACCTCACTATATATGCCCAAGTAAGTTTCAGTTGATAAAGTGGTATTATTGTATTTGGTCAAGTACCTGTATAATTTTGTGTCGTAGACTTTTAATATACATTTCTGCGTTTATCTGTCACATTTGGATAAATTTGTAGTTTTAGATATGGTTTATAAGTAAGACAGGATATCAGTTCGTTGGTACAAACACCCAACCTTCACATGATAAATCCAGTGTTCAAACCCTGCACTGCCTGATTTATTCTGGGGAATGGATTAGCATAGTAAACTTCCAGATATCGAATATGGCTTATACTCTCATAAGAAAAGTACATGTACCAAGTAATGAAGTTGCTTGGCTCATTATTTGTCACTTATTCTAAATACAAACAAACAAAATATTGTAAGAAAAGTTTTGTACAACGACTGGCTTTTGAGGAATTAAGTGAACACATCAAAGACTATGCTACACTCAGCAGTTCATATGGAATAGTTTTGCAGTCGATATTATCTCTTTACCACTAGACATCAATTGTAGCGTACATTTCGAAACAAAAAGCCTGTAATCTAGTACCTAGAAATTAAGAATTTTAAACTATCCCAACATCTGTTACACAAGCTTTTCGATTCTCACTAAATCATCTGTTCTCGTAGTCACTGCTTTCGTTATGCATTTATAGGTGGTGAATATGAGATAATGCTTTCCCACTTTAAAAGTATTGGTTATTGAACTTTACATTAATTATGTTTTAGCCAAGCTATTAATTCAAGGTTTTCATTCTAGGTGTTCATTCTTTCATAAATCAAATTCACCAACTGCAAATTGATTAGAAATTTGCAATTTACGCAATTGGCCAACTGACTGGTTTCAACGTAGAACTTTGCACAGATGTACAGCAGTTCGAGTCGCTACACTCCATGTAGCACACAAAGCAAGGAAAGAAAGTAGAAAGAAATGCAAAATAGAAACAGTAAGCAGAGATACGCGGCAAAAACAATAGTAATAGGGAAGAACAATATAGTTTCATTGGTAATTATAAGTCACAAGGAGTGGATGCATTTGCGCCAGCTAATGAGAACGATTTTGAGCCATATCACCAATTGTCTCCAGTCATCATTGGTTTTTACCGTCTCGAGGACCCCAACCAGGAAGTCTAAACCTTCCTACGTGGCTTGAACTAACTGTTGTGGATTTCATTGACTGATGCCATTTACGCAATCAGAGGAAGTGAAATTTCACAGCAGTTTTTTCTTGGAACCAAAGTTATTCACATCAGAATATGTGATTTGCTTGATACCATTAATGGTAATCAAGAAAGCAAGCATATTTAAGTATAACTGTAAACTGCAGATCGATTGAGATGAGTGCTATTAAGTGTATCAATGAATCAGTGGCATGTAGTTTTGTTTTTTTATTCCTCTGTTAGATTTTAAGCTTCACCCAAAAATGAACCAGTCAGTTCTTATAGTCATTTAGTTATATTCTTGGAACTTATGTTGTTTGCTTGCAGCATCCAGCTTTGTAATTTCAATGCATTCAGACAATTATCAATTAATTTATATCTCCCAGGTTAATTAGGAAATACTTGTATAGTTAAATGTTTGTCTGACCACTCAATTAAGGAGAATAAGTAATGTCTAATAATTTTATAAGATTAGTTAACTGATTTGACTGAATTTATAACTAAAGCCTTCTGAGAAACCAGTTTTGTCACGTTTCTACAAGCTATCTATCCCCCCCCCACCATCGAATCTTTTAATTGCAATATTCGCCTTAGTTGTGTAGTATACATTTATAAGAAATCATAACATCATATAGGAAATCTAAAACTTTTTCTCATTATGGTTAGCCGAGAGTTTAACCTGTCTAAGGCCTACCATGAAACTTTGCCATAGGCAAACCTGTGACACGTACAATTCTGCTTAAAACAGTCACCTGGTGAAGTATATTGGTGTATTCGGAATCCACTTTGCTTGTGGTTATATGATGGGTACATATAGCACTGTAACTGCTGTAACGGCAGAAGATAAGAGAATCGGTAATGCACCTTTATTAAGGAAAAGCACATCATCTTTATACATTCTTGTCCATATTAATTTTCGGCTAGGTCAGAGGAGGTCGGCTGGCTGTTGGCCCAAGGTTGAATAAGTCCAGTCAGGTTATTTCATGTCCACAACTTAAACTAAGTCTTTCTCTGCACCCATTAACTTAAAATGTTGTAATTTCGTGTGAATAAATCACAGAATTAAATATGTTTATGTGTAGCTTATATTTACTTACATTTTATAGGAGCTTGCAAGTTTAACTGTTGGTCGAGAAAGCACTTTTCGAGCGGCTTGTGAGTATAAAATCATTTGTGATTCACCAGCACGAGATGCTCAACCTTATCCAATTTGTCATGATGCTAATTGGGGACCAGCATGGTCTCATGTAAATCATTATGCACTTGAACCAAGCCATATAGAAGGTGTTATCAGTATACCTAGTGAATTGGACTCATTGGTCAACTCAAATGGACATTATACACCAGTTCCAAAGACTGTTGATATACGTTTTCAAAAGCATCGACCTGAAGTTAACCTATTGGCTAAATTACATCGAAATGGAGTATCCGATGAATTCCTTGATCAGTATCAACGTGTTACAGAAACAGTACGTGAAACTTTGTTTCATGTTACACTACCTGAACCTGGTAAGTTTTGTGGGGAACTCAGCTTTTTTTTTCTATACTTATTGCAAATATTTGTAGTTGTGGAAATGCCTGTAACTTGGTTGTTTATGTCCAGTTGAAAAGAAAATTCTACACAAAGATTTAACAAAATATCACCTTAATAAGTGGAATTGTGATTGATTTGTTTGGGCGCTTGACTTCCAATCATTCGGCCACAGGTTTGAACCCTGCCGGCTACCTACGGAGGTTTGGGCGGCTGGGAAGTAGCATCAGAACTCTTTTAATTAGTGTGGCTCGCTGCATGTGGCTGTCAAGTATATTTTAGTGGATAAAAAGTAAAGCTGTATAGCCTACTGAACATGTCTGATTAGCGTTCAAGTAGGAAACATACAAATCGATAAGTATAACACTGGTACCTTAATGTCATCTCTTTAATTAAATCATGATATCCTTAACTAACTCTTTCAAATTTATCATACGGCAAATACAATTCAAGTAGTAGCAGTAGTAGTAGTTTATAAACCTTAGTTTACCGAATTCGCATAGTTTCTTCTGACGCACAGTTTCATAGTTAGCTGCTTTTATCCTCGTAGGTATGTGTAGTTTGATTCACTACTTAAGCCTTTCAAAGTTCTCAGCAAAACAGCTTTTTGAAGCCTAGGTTCCTTTGCGTTATTACTCAGCTTATCAGTACAGTTATTGGTATTAATGTAGTGTGATTAACATTTCAAAATACAAATTTAAATCAGCGTCTAGCCATCACTGTTATAATCCCTTAGTAGACAAGGTTTTGTTATTTTTATAGTAATTTGAGTCATGATTAACGATAAATCTAGTGCTAATGTTTCGAGTTCGAAATGTGCATAACAACATATATTTTAAAAAAAGTTACAGTGTGTGTGTGTATGTGTGTGTGTGTGTGTGTGTGTGAAAAAGCCTTCTTTGCTGGTTGGTAAATACCTGATTTTATCATGTAACTTTTTATTTATTTAATTTACCTGAAGTTTATGTTTTTATAATATTTACATGTGTATATTGATGTGAAAGTTTTAACTGTCTAGATTTATACATTTGTTAAGAGTTTCTGTTATTCAAACTATCATCGGTCTGGTGTACTGTGTTTATTGAGTAGAATAAAGTGAAGTCATAACATTGACGAGATAACATCAAGTCAAATTTACGCTTTGTATTCTTGTTTGTATGCACACCTGCAGTCTCAGATGTGTTAAAGTTTCGGCTAGTAAAGCTTAGATAGTTTAAAATGGATTGTAGCAGTTGTGAATGCCTTAACATTTGTAGAGTGTCGTTTCTGAGATCATCAGAGTTTATTTTGTGAAGTTTGCTTTGTTTGTGGAGCTTTCACAGTCGATTTTCAAAAGAATACTAGTGATTTTAGAATTTGAGAAAACTAAGTATTTACGAGGTGCGTCGGTGGCATAGCGGTTAGGACGCTCGCCGACCATGCACATGGTCCGGGGTTCGATCCCCGGCCGGCGCACTCCTTTACCTTGCTAAGCCAGAACTAATGCTGGTGAAGAAAGAAGCTTGGGCATGAGGCTAGCAACCCCATCCTGTAAAATAAACACTGCTACAGAAACTTCAAGCCTCTAGCTTGAAGCCCTATGTTCCACTGGAGAACGTGAAGGAAAAAAATGGTATTTACGAGACAGCGAAGAGGTGGATTAATGATGATCACCTGTAAATGAAGTGCTACTACAGATATAGTTTTGTAAATTAATGAAATTTTCATTTCAATGTATATCTACTGGAGGTCGGCGATACACGGTTTTATTAGTGCAACGGCTAACTTCTTCTTTGTAAGGATGCCTCTGAACATAATAGAATAAGACAAAAAGATGTTCTACTTTTGAAGTTGACCTTTTCCTAAACTTTCTGATATGAATGAAGAGTTTGAATGTATGCATTAGTTGTTCTCAACATCACACCCTAATGTCGTCATTATTATATATGCCGTCCACATATATTCAGCAGTTGAAATCCTATATTTGGGTATGGAACTGTTGTATGATATTGCTCATTACAAACTTTCCAACGTGTAAGAAGACGTCGAAAAGTGAGTGTTCCAGATTCTATAAAGAGATGGAATTGTACATAATTCATCAAATTTTTAAACAGTTGACTGAAGATAAAAATCATTGCTTTATTTTTGCTAAACATTTCCCATCTAATTAGTTCAGATCCTTTAAAATCAAAAATCAAGTAAACACTGTTTCCAATGGGTTGGTTTGTAGGAATTCGATTGATTTCAATTTCGATCGCTAACTAACTTTAGTTAGAGAACCATTGAAAATCAGGGAGTACTGGACAGCTGTTATGTGGTATATACCTCGAATAGGCAGAGGTTAGAATAGATGGGTCATCGATTTCCGTCTCAGAGTCTGAGTGGTTAACGAGCTCTACTTGTGACCAGAAGGTCTCAAGTTCGATCCTGGATAGGATGACAGGTACGTACTTCCTAAGAGTCCCAGACTAAGACGAAACAGTTGTCCGTTACTCCATGGTTTTCAGTGGTCCTCCAACTGAAGTCATTTAGTGATCAGACTTGCAACTTGTGCTACATATGGTTCATTTGAGTCATACAGGATGTTTCAAAGAGACTTACACAGTTTTGACGAGTTTAGTTGTATTATACATATGAAGTAGTGACGTGTGAGTTAACTATCTATTCTACACAAATAATGTCAATACACTAAGTTTTGAATTAGATTGTCTTCGCCAAAAACCAACATCAACTGAAGAGCATATTCAAAGTCATAGCTCAGTGTAAAATCATGCATATATGCTGCTTTGAGGAAGTCAAAAAAGACGAAAATATCTTCCAGTGCTGTTATATATTCTGATTTCCGACCAGTAACTACTACCTTAACGTAGCAGTCACACTTGCATATTGTAATGACCCAATCTCTTTCTTTACTTCGGCTATCTCCTACGGGAGGATGAGCCGGCTTCATGAACATCTCGAATCATCGCTGCTCAGGCGCGGCGATCTGATGCAAGGTTTTGCGACAGGGTTATCCAATTCTTGTTCCACAGACGGAGTCCGTAGACGGTTTGTAGCCCCAGGCACTCCATATCAGCCTTGACTGTACCAAGCCATGTTTTCAGCTGTCCACCCGTGCGACATCGCCAAGATGGTAATGACGAGGGATTTAGAACTGATTTGACCAGATCGTCATCTGGTCGGCGCAGAACATGGCCAAACCACCGAAGGCAACGTTGTAAGAGAGTTCATGAAGTTTCATGGGGATTTGGTACGAGTGATGTCCCCAGAATCGCTCGGCCTTTTGTTTGAGAGTGCAGCTCTAGCCTTTACACAACCAAGTGTGACCTACAAGGCAGTAGGAGTGGAGTAGGGAGTCCACTATCCATTGGCAACCGGTGACCGAAGTTCGGTTCATACGCCTTTTTGAATGGGGCCAGACATCCAGGACATCCAACAAGCCCTTTGTCCATACGTCTGCCGGTGAGCTCCAGTGAGCTTCATACGCCAGTCGTTGGAGGTTTGGAATCAGAGTTTAGCCATCTCCCCTAGACTGTCATCCAATGGACAGTCAACCCGGTGAAGAGCGCCGGGCATCCGCTTTCGCCCTCTCACTTTGGTGAAAAACACCTCCGCCACGTGAAGGCAGTGAGTAGGACTTCCTCAGGAGAGGCTATGTAAGACGCCCGGTCATATGGGAGCATTTCAAGAGGTGTGCGGAAGGGTGGCCAACCCGCAGCGCAAGGCACCCACCCCCTACCATCCTGAGGCTTTGGAGGCCTACACTGACTGGAACTAATGTTCCTGCAAGTCCTACCATGCCAGAAAAGTCGTTTGCATAGTAACGGTTAGACTAAGAGCAGCTTCCATCATAATGTAAATGGTTGGGGTATGTGTGTGTGTCAGTGAAGTCATACTGCTGGCGAGTAGGAATGTAATAGCAGTAGAGTGTTTCCTTCAGATAACCGACAGGCTAGGTATTCTGCCTCTCGGCTTTAAAGAGGGGTGGTTAGAAAATGGTTGACCTCGATTGACCTTGCAGCCGTTCTTAGCCGACGGCAAGATCCTAATACGAACACAACTCCAATAACCACTTCAAACAGTTCGTGTGTAACCAGTCTCAAGCAGTCATGCAAGATTAATGTTCCTTTTGTCGCAGGTATTCCAAGAAGAAGACATCAACTTCCACATTGTGAGTGGGTAGTCGAGAAGTAATAATCGCTTAGATACTTCTATAAATAAACAAAAATTTCCTGATCATCATGTCCTTAATGATTCTTCTAGCTGATATTGTTTTGTAGCAAAGCTAACCAGGTTAACTCTCGAAAAAAATACATATCACCTGATTTGCTGTTCTAGGGTAGAATGTTACAGTGATGTATATGTATGTGTATAAATTCTCAAAGTTCGTCTACTTGACATAGTAACAGTGTATGTACACTTTAGCTTTATGATGATAATCTTTTCACATGTTAAAAAAAAAACAATTTGCATAATAGAATAAATAATAATATGAGAGTACTCTTAAAGGACGAATCGTCATCATCATCATTATCATTGTGATCATATGTGGACAATATAATTATCATATATACAGCGTCAAGTAAAGTTTTGTTTCTATGCATTTATACTCACTAATGATGAGATGCTTTCAGTTAGGAAAAAAAAGTTTTGAAAATGGACAACTTTCCCGTCTTCTTATCTGTAGGAAAATATCAGTGTGTGTTTTGAAATCTGAGTTAAAATAACGTAAACAACACAATTATTATTATTATTTTATATGCAAAAATTTAAAATCACTTTTTCTTTGTTTTCTACCTAACTATTGCTTCAAACTACTTAATTGGAGAAATAAGTAGACTCTAAATAGATGAATATTGTATATGTTAGAGAGCCATTGAAAGCCAGGGAGTACTGAACAGTTGTTTTCTACTCGTCGACTGGGACTCATTGGTAGTACGCACCTATAGGGATTCAAGCCCATAACCTTCCAGTTACAAGGCGGACTTGTGGGCCATTC